TCTGCAGCCCTTGTGTTGGTCAGGTCTGCAGGTGAGCGGCGTAATCAGCCCCATCAGCTCATTAAGCAGAGCACCAGGTACTGTTCTCACTCCCGTCCCCCCTGTTTGATTAAGAAAATAAAAACCCTGAGTGATAACCGCAGATAGCGGCTCCTCACTGAGCTGTTCAGTATCAGTTGGGAAATTAGTCAAGATAAAGGAAAACAACGCAGTGTGCCGAAGAGCTGGGGGGAACTGACTACAACGCAGCAGTCATGAGAAAAGCAACATGATCCTTTGCGATGTGTCATTAAGGGTGTCGTTGAGAGGTTTGTTGCTCGATCATAATTTGATAGCTTTTGCACAACTACTTAATGCATTTTTAAAACCGTACGATAACCTCTCAGGCCCGTTGATCACCATCTACACCGACAAATTGTCGACACAAATAAAAAAGACCCTCCCGTATGGGAGGATTTTGTAAGAAGAGAGAGCTGACTGGAGTCATGGATAAAGGAATGCAAAGTAAAAGTAACACACTGGCTGAAAATTCTTAGAAAGCCACCGTCATGACGTCTGAAAGTGGGGAAGAAAGCTTGAAACTGGGATGAGTGTGGCGCAGCTGCCGTTTCCCTTTAGAGACAGAGACCAGCCGTGACTGAGCATCAACAAATGTCTGGCACACTGGGCAGGCAGAGGCCATTAACCACGCAAACATTAGCGAGAGTGCCGCCTCCTTCATCTGCATGAATTTATCAGAATCCCGAGCCAAAACATTTGCGCATTAGCATTCTACCGAGTTGTGCAGGAAAGTGCCCCATACATCCCACGCACAGTGTGTATGGGCCACATAAAAGAAAACTACAGTAATGGGGAGGAAAATAGGCTTTGCATTTCAGACCAGCTTGGTTTTTTACTCTCGTTCTGTTCAATGTCTCTGGGGTATATTTTCTTTGTCTCTGGTGCAGAGGCAACGCACCTGTCTGAAGCCCAGAGGAGAATTCTCCAGCTTTTATCTCAGTAAACACAAGCCCCAGCCGCTAATACTCCGGAGAGGTCTTTCTCACTTTTGTTTACTTCCCTGTTGTATCAGGAGAATTCAACACCAGTGGTGTCTGATTAAATCAAATCAATAGAAAAGATTGTCAATGGACACAACATCACATGATCAAACCCAATAATTCATGAAACGTATTCTTCTACCTTTAATTGCCTTTTTCTGTTGGAAAAGTGTCACGTTTTTGAATGCTTCATTTGCACACAATGACCTCCTTGTATACAGAGAAAACTGTATTTTCTCTTATTTGGCCATACAGGAATTCAAAGTAAACACAAGAAACTTGTCTTACAAAGAACTATACTGCACTATATTCAAGAATGCATAATGCAATTTACTAATATATGTGTATATACTGTGTATATTAATATATACTGTATACAGAAATGCATATACATGAATGGGAGACATAGATATAGGTATGCAGGTAGATGCATATCCAAGCTGCCACAACAGCTTGGATTTTTTACTACCTCTCAAATAGGCCGCATGCTGTTAGACTGAGGGGTTGGTGTAACGCATGAGGTCATTAGCAATACTGGACTGTAAACCTCAGACTTCCCGTTCAGCTCAGAGGCCTGTCCTCTCCAGAAAAATGCTCTGCAGATGACTCTGCAGCTGTGGGTGTATATCGGCGGTGGACAAGTGGCCGAGTATAGAGCCGACTGTGACACAGTGTGGGAACAATAATACCATCTGGTAAAAAAAGCAAGACGCGGGGGCTGGTCGTGGATTCAGTATGTAGGAGTAGGACTTAGTCAAATTATTTTTTTTCTGCCCTGAGAGAAGAGGTGTAGGTGGTGGAGCACTACGGATACCTGGACAGCAGACTAGTGCAGTGTGTCCTTCTTGAGGAAGCTCTTCGTTATTTGCAGCAATGTGTTGCATATTTTATATGCACAACTCTCTTTGCAGCCATCTGTCGGGCTACCAGCATCAGAACCAGTGAATCAAAGAAACCGAGCTAATGAAGGAGGCTGGAAATGCGCTGTGGGCGACTGTGGAGCTGATTGTGTAAGGAAGAATTTTGCTCAACCTGTAAACATAATAGACCATGCCACATATCCTACATAACAATTAGAAAATGGATGTCTTCAGCCAGAGGTTTATCCAGTTCCACCGTATACAGGACCAACACAGAACTATCTCATTCAAAGTAAAAAGCAATACTTATTTTTTAAATTATTTAGAAAATGCTATTTTAAAACATTAATATCTATTCTCTTTGGTTGTACTCTACCCCATTCGGAGTTTTACTGACAGTAACATTGTAGGTTTCAGAAGCAGTATGCACAATATATTTCACAACAAAGCAAAATGAGAAATGGGAGAATTTTTCGTGGAAACAGATTTGTGAAAGCCACTGAGAAGTGATGAACAGTAGAATTGTTTCTATCCTGACTGACTGCTGTAATTCCCAGTTGTGACCACATGATGGCACTGTGGTTTAATCTGTAAACCCTCACGCTTGCTCTTGCCTTAAAAGAGCTGGTGTTGTGATCTTGTTTCCTGTGATCCATATATATTGAGCAAAAGGAAAAGGATGGTTGAGCGGGGACTGCAGCACCGCCGCGGTTCTGGAGATGAATAGGGATGCAAATAGAGGGAGGGAAAAGTTAAGGCTTTAAGTGACAGTAAGCACACCCCAGAGGCCCCGGAGCAGAACGCTCCGCCTCAGCACATCAAGGACACGGCCCCCACTGTCTGAGTGCCCCCTTGGCACGCATTACATCCAGTCCATCTCCAATTTTCATCCAGACAAACACTTGACTCCATATGCTGAGCGGAGCCAACGACAAGAGACAGATGTGTTCTCCTCAGAGAATCCCGTCTGATAAGCTGCCACTCCGCAAACTATGAAACACCCAAAGGAACCCACCAGGATGGAGAAAAAAAAGCACAAAACAAACCATTTTACATGAGAATGGATATGCCTGGAAACCCTACCCTCATACACTCCCTTCGCCTTGGCTGTAAATGTCAATTTCATGTCAGATTCTTTCTCCATCCATCCATGTGATTGCTTCATCACTTTGCATAAGAATGGAGCATCGGCCTATTCTTCATATTCCTCCAAATGAAAGACATCAGAAAGGCTGGGGTCTGCAACAATCACACGATCAGACTGGGCTTTATAGAACATGAAACTGTGCAGTAGACTGTATAGTTCTGTAGATACACTGGTGCTTGAAGGTTTCTTTATATCTGCCGGAGCTCATCACATTTTCACCCGGGCCCCGTGCGCAGATAAATGGAATTCAATCAAACAAATGACGACAAAGAGATTGCTCATTTGTATATTGAGAAAAGATGCTCCGGCATGACATATCTCTGAATTGCAAATTGAAGTGAACTTTTGCTCAAACTTTCCTGAACCCGTGTCTCGACAGGCTTAGAGTGTTGCCTTTTCTCACCCGCTGGGAGAAGCTTCCAGGTAGAACCCTGCTAAAGAGTGTCACGACTGGGATGCAGGCCCCATGTGGCACGCTGTTTCTCAGAGTCAGTCGGGCATACGGAAATGGCCGGCTTTCCCGTCCACTGGCCACAGAAGTACGAGCGAGCCCACAGCAGGTCGGGCCTGTCACAGACAGCACCTGCCCTAACAGATAGAGGGGGGACTCTGCTGTGCCTACCAGGAGAGCTTAGTGATGAAGATAAAATACAAATTGTGTCCAGAGGAAAACGTCGTTGTTGGACATTATTGCTTTTACATAGCAAAAATGAAAAAAAGCTCAAATTGAGCATTAAGATCATCTTGATGACCTCGTCGGGAAACAAATATAAACGTCAAATGAACCACATTAGTAGGCCGATACTTCACTGATAAGAGAAACTCTCAAAACAGTGCCTTTTTTTGGTTTTTCCGATGCTTTGCTCGTGCACTTTTTCTCGGCGCTATAATTTGTGTAAATGTTGATTTATGAACTAATAGACAGTAATTGCTGCTCAGTGCCACTGGTAATCCAAGCTGTCAGACTCCTGAGGCACATTAGGCCAGATTTGTATAATGAAGTAGTCAGCTCAATAGGAAGTAGGGGTGGTGTAAGAAACTGCGAACAAGCACCCAGAAAGCACTCGAGTGCTATGAGGGTGATTTTGGTCTTGCCACTATAAGACGATTTGCCACTGAATGTGAAAATACTTCTGTTGTGAGAAAATGATTTTCTTAATTAGAGCCTCCATGTGTCAGCGAACCTAATTTCAAGTTTATAATCAGGACATTTTTATGTTTTTTTTTCTTTTTCTATGCTAATTTAAAAAACCCTCCGCTGTACCATCTTTATACATCAATTTATTTCCACATTCCCTATTTACATAAGAAAAAAAAAGAAGAAGCCAAAAACGTACTGCTCTCTGTGTTTCTGTTTGGCTTCTCTCACCCAGCAGATGCTCCCATCACAACCAAGAGTGCTCCATTGTCTGCTAGCATTGTCATTGTTATTATTCTTTTGGACTGCCTGTGGAGGTATCGGCAAGCTCCGAGGGAAGGCGGGCGCCAAGCTGGATAATTAGTTGTTCCCCGATGCCAGACGGGCACGTTGCCGTCACTTGGAGGGGAAATGGAAAGTGGCGTGGCAATCAGGGTAACACCAAAACAACCTTTGGTGTGAGGGCCGGGTTCCAGTGCATCTGTCACACTTGCTTGTCATCTACCCGCTGGACAGACAATAGTCCGAACCAGTCGAGCAATACGCAGAGTGATCCTTTTATCTGGCGGGAGATCGATTTTTGGGTCGTATTTCTTCTTCTTGGTGGTCTACTTGCTGAATCGATTGGAAGTTTGTGCAACTGTACTGCCGATTGTGGCGGACGAAGACACAATCACATTATCGCATGGCCAAAAATGTGTATAACATGTTTTAAACCCATTCAGTATTTATTTGTTTCGGGTCACTTTTTAATATTCGCATGAAATGATGCGTCTCTCGACCTCTCGACCTTACAGCCGTTTTGTTGGCCTCCTTTAAGAAAAGTAGTAAATGATGCAGAATACAGTTACGCATGCTAGCAAGGTGCCTCCAAAACCCAGGAGAATGCCATGAAAAAGGGGCAGAAGCACGCTCAGAGGCCCCTTCTGGTACGGAGGGACAGGAGCCCGCTCCAAAATCAGATCCAGGTCACGCCAGTTCAGATCCCTCACTAGACAACAGGACAGACAGGACAGACACATTTACCACCGCAAAGCAGTATCGGGCCCTTTTTGTCAAGCTCTAAGTTGAAGGAAGCACCCAAGAGAGTAAATAAATGGACAGGTGATAATTACATTTTGAATTTCTAACTGTCGTGGGAAATTCTCTTTGTGCGGCGAGAGTGTTGATGCTGAGAAGTAATGAGTTGGAAGCATGCCCGCGGCTAACCACATCTAATCCAGCATCTCATCTAAACACTTAATAGATTCAGGGTTCAGTGAAACATTATATCGTTTGTCATTTTGACAATCTCCAGAGGTATAACCCAAAAATCTCCTCTCAGCATCAAATGTGAGATAGATAGCGAAGCTCAAACATGGACGCAGATTCTCAGTTTTACAACCACCTCTATGTTGTGAGGTCGCCAATTAAAGGGGGCATCTTTTTTTTTACAGACAATTAACCTCACCCTTTTTCGTGCGGGTTCTCTGCTGTTCGTGCCCGTGGGGCTTTGTGTCTGATGACAACGACGGGATGTTCAGAGAGCGGACAAACTCGTGGTAGCCTTCGACGTAGCGTTTCAGGTCCAAGGCTTTGTCCTGGTTGATGTTCTTCCCCACTTCTGCGAAATAAAATTGCAAAGTGTTACATCTCCCTGGCCTCCGATGATGTCACATCTGCTTAAGTGGCTGATTTCTTGTCCTGAACATAACCGATTCCGGCAAGAACGCTGAAGTGCTGTCAGTTGTTAAAAACAAACCTTACTGGTTATTATGTATGGCTAAATCTCACAGCCATAAACAAGTGTACCATAATTGCTACATCCCGCATCCCAGTCTCCTCCACCAGAGCCACTAATGCCCGCCTCTTTGTCTCCTGTCTCATCCCTTTTCTTGTGTTTTTATTCCTCCAAAGCTGACGATGAAAGGAGCAGATGGTTTGTTCTCTGACTGGTGTCAGCTTCACTGAGTTCCCTGTCAGATCATTTACACCTCCTTCTATCCAACGCCACTCGGCTGTGGAGCTGTGTGCGCGCACGCTGGACGCCAACACATGCCAGACACTGGGAGTGTGTACGCCGTGCCACTTTTGAAGTTCCAATTAAAATGAATCTGAAAGTAATGAAACAATTACACTGCTTTCCTAAAAATCTAGAGGAGGCTTCTCCGCTGAAAAGAATCGGTTTTGAAAACACACTGCCATGCAGCCAAACGAAGCTTTGTACTAATTTGCTTTTGTGAAGGGACATGTTGGGATGTGTGCTCACAGGGGTTTGCTCCTATGATCAGCAACGCACATCAAACAGTGTCCTGTGTTCCTTTGAAAGCAACCCCTTAACAGTGTGATGAAATTGAATACAGAATAGTTGGGCGCTACGGTGCGAGGGGCATGTGTTTTTCCTTTTTTCCGTTTATTTCTCACCAATGGCGATGTCTGTTCTGCCGATGTGCTGCAAGGCGCGGGAGAGCCTGTCGTAGTAGGTCTCCTCGCCGTGCTGCAGCAGCCAGTCTGTCAGGGCCGTTCGGCACTGAGCCTCACCATCTAGCAAACACAAACCATATGGCCCCCCTCAGAAAGGAGACAGGTCTGTGACAGCCAGCGTGCTGCCACAAACTTTCAGAGCTGATCTGGACATGTGGGAAACAAGACAGGTCTCAGTTTGTAACTTCCTGACGATATGTTGAGTTCCTCTAGTATTCCGGTTATTTCGGGTCAAAAGAATAACTCCTGTCAAGTTTTGGTTAAAAGAATGCATATTTTGATATTGTTATTTTTGTAGTGATTTAAGGGGAGATGAAACATATTGTTTAAGATTGAACCGGTCACTTAAAGACAAGTGATTCTCTTTAAATGCGTCACATGCTTCTGCTTCACTCAGTGTTCAGTTCATCCAAAATGTCAACAGATTTGAAATATGAGGTAACAAGTCCAACAAACGGCTACAGATTTATTTAACTGAACTTTGTTTTAGCCCCATTAATCATCCCATGCGGCCTTTGATTTATCTGATGTCCTTGTAGGGGAAGCTGCACCTTAAAAGTCTCATGGCCAGCTGTTCCATGTTTTCTGGAATATTTGGCGGGTTTAAATGATGCACTTCCACATAAACATCACCGAGAATTAAAAAAAGAATAGAATAAACTAATTCTATTCAGTAGTTTGGAACTCTTTCTTGCATTTATACAACCTTATCACCCACATATCACAATGAGAGAACAGCAGGACTGGAGGAATTATCTTTAAAAAAAGAAAGAAGTTACTGTCATCTGCCCCCTCTTTGTTTTTATTGAAAATAAGATAAATTGTTAGTGATGAGGGCACTTATCGAACTGAGAAGTCCTGGTGTTATCTTCATTGTCAGTTATCCATGCACCTCAATTTAAAATGACCAGATTCCCATTCTGACCTCACTACATAGGACTGGATCTCAAGTGTTTCTGATGTGTTTTTCAAAGTTTTTTCAAGTTTATATAGTAGTGCACGGTCAGGAGTCACCCTTAATCTCACCCCCACTAGTAATATTTAACTACTTAGACATAGAAAAATTAAATGGAAGTAAATTTTTATATCATGCCCGCCTTAAGTTATTCGTACTAGCTTCCCCTCCAGTTGCTACAATACTAACCTGTGACTTATACTTTAACCATGTTAGTAAAAGAGGGCTAAACCTGTACTTTTAATGAATGGTCTCAGATAAAAAGCGATGGTAGCTAACCTGGAGCTGAAGATGTGTCTCTCTTAACTCTGCTTTTGACTTCTAGAAGATTGTTCTCCGGCGACAGACGGTCCAAGTGCTGGAAAATGTTCTCCTCAGGGTTAGACAGGGCAAGCAGGAGGTCCTCGCACTCCTTAGATGTCAGTAACTCCACTAACCGTTCAAGCTGATGCACACTGATGTCTTCTGCCACTGAACAGACATGATACAGGCTAATTGAATCATACAGAAGAAGACCCCTTTAGCCAAAAAGGCATCAAGACTATAGCTCGTACAATTAGCTGTAACACAAAGGCATGACCAGCCTGTATCAAACAAATATAATCCACCTAATCAAGCATGGTGCCGAGACAACAAAGCAGTTTTTTTTCTCAGTGGCTGTTATTCCAATTAGCTAGTGTGACTCTTTTGGTCTGAAACTGTCACATTGCATCCCTCAGCTGCAGAAAAGCAGATGGAATTATCCACATTTCACAAAAGAGAGAGAATTTTGGGATCTAAGGTAGTAGAATCATCAGGTTTTTTGTTGTTGTTGGTTGTTGAATGTTGGTGTGTCCTCGCCTGCTAAAGGAACTTTGCTCTCACCTGTGTCCTCTCCGAGTGTCAAACTCTGTGGCAGACAGATGAAGATGAAAAACAGTTTCCACCCCTTCATGTCAGCCGTAATGATTTGGTTTGTTTGCTGTTTCCGTTGGAGGCCGTTTGTTTTCAAACCTTACAAATGATCTAGAATCGTAACCAATTAGTAGAAAAATGCAGCTTTCTTTGTCATATCTAATTACCATGGATACCTACAATGCTGGAAAGAAATAGCAGTTTTTCTCATTTTCTGAAAGATGCAGAAACAATATCATAATCACTCATTTATTTACTAAACATACCTTCAGCAGTCAGGAAGCTTACTGGAATTTTACAAATGTTGTTTATTGACAGTGTAAGTGTCACTTATTTTAAATACTCTACAGTCAATTAATCACTTAGTGAAATGTGGGGCTGTCCAGATTTGGTATTAAAGGAGCTTGCTGTAAAGGGTTTAGTCTTTCCAAGCAGGAGTGATTACTTGCAAAATGATTATTACTGTGTGAAAAGATTCTTGGGGAACCAGGAAATTCTCAGTGCATAAAGGCCAAGGATGGAAACAGCTGTTGGATGTGTGTGACCTTTGAGCCCTCCGGCAGCACTGCATGTGAAATCAATCAGGCAACATGAGCTCAGGAATACTTAGAAGAGCATAATCGCCGGGCACAGCCCTCTGCTGCATCCTGATATGTGTTCTGGAACTGCATTACAGGAAGAGGAATTCCTCTATCGACTCTGTGCAGAGGCGCTGCTGAGGTCTCTGGACACAACGTCATCTCAGAAATCAGCAGAAAGACAGCGGACACTTTCCTTTGATCAGGTGAGTCTGTTTAAGAATGAAGATTAACCTTAAAATTTTGTGCCAAAGATGATAAAGACCAGAGAAACTTAAATCTTAAAACTTAAAACTTAAATGGGAAAGGGCACCACTAATGCAATTATATATTAGAAAAAAATCTATCTATCTATCTATCTATCTATCTATCTATCTATCTATCTATCTATCTATCTATCTATCTATCTATCTATCTATCTATCTATCTACCTATCTATCTATCTATCTATCTACCTACCTACCTACCTACCTACCTACCTACCTACCTACCTA